TGTATTCTCCATGAATTCAGGGATAACATCATAGTAAGTTTTGTAGTCTTAACACTGGCTCAAGATGAATAGTTAATAATAATTATTAGAAAATATTGTAGTCATGTGTTAGACTATTCATCAGTACATAGCATGTTAAATATATGATTATCTTGCTATACATTCACCGAAGACAGCAAAACTCTATAATTTGCCTGTGAAAAACAGTAATAAGATTCCTTAGTGTTTGACCATACAATGAAAGAATGTGAATCCTACCTTTCTTATTGATTTTTTTTTCATTATTTCTATCCCAGTTGGTTCATTCTTATGCATGTTTTACCTGAAGAAATCATTAGTCATGGTGATTAGCTTGTTCATTGATGCTTGCATATATTTCCTTCAGATTTCAAGACTCTTCAGTTCTGTTTTTGTAGAACAGAAAATACCTATTCCGTATATCAAAATTGGAAATAGCATTATTTTAAAATATGCATTTATTTAATTCTTTGAAAGTTTCATACAATATATTTTGATCATATTTTCCCAGTTCCTTTCAAATCCATCCCCATTCCCTACCCACCAACTTCATGTCCTCCACCCGCCCCCCATGAGTTGAATTTCTGTTGAGCATGGTTTACTTCCCAGGGCCACAGCTTTAAAGAAAACTGACTTTTCCTCTCCTAGCAGCTATCATATGCCTTTAGCTCCTGTTTTATATTCGTTGGTGTAGATTGTCATGATATATTAAAGGTGTATATATAATCACATGAACATGAAAGTCTTTTGTGGGTGAGTATATGTGTGAGTACACATGAATTTTCATTTGTGTGAGGGTGCTTATTGTATACACCTGTGTGTGGAGGCCAGCGCTCAACCTCAGGTGTCATTCTTGAGGAGCCATCTACCTTTTTTTTTTTTAAAAAAAATTATTTGTTTTTATATTTTTATATGTATGAATGTTTTGCCTATAAGTGTACCTATGTGTGCAGTGCCCATGGAGGCCAGAAGAGCTTATCAGATCCCCTGTTACTGGACATACAGACAGTTCTTAGTTGCTGTGGGTGCTGGAAATTGAACCCGAGTCCTCTGCAAGAGCAGTCAGTGCTCTTAACTGTGGAGTCATCTCTGTAGCCCCCACCTTGTTTTTTGAGACTAGGTCTCTTACTGGTCTCTGGGGTTCACTAAGTAGGCTAGGCTGGCAGGTCAGTGAACCCCTGGGATCTGCTTGTCTCTGTCTCTCCAACACTGGAACTACAAGCATGCTCCACTACTCCCCACTTTTTATTTGGGTTCTGGGCATTACACTCAGGTCTTCAGGCATTTTACTGACTGAGTCATCTCACCAGCCGCAGTGAAGTTTTTGTTTGTTTGTTTGTTTGTTTGTTTGTTTGTTTGTTTTAGTGGAAGATGGTAGTTTGTTTAGAAAAGTCCATTATAAATATATTGTAATGGTAGTATCAGATTTTGAAACTTAAAGAATGGGAAACACAGTTTAAACAAAGAAACAAACATTTCACTCCAAAGCTACCTACAACTTTTTCAAAGACACAATCTCTACCTTGAAAGATTTTTAGTACTTGGAGATCATGTCCCAAGAAAGTTAACATAAAGTATAGTATCGTGCGTGTGTGTGTATGTGTACTTGTGTGTGCAGGTGCACATGCCCATTTGTATATGTATGGGGCCAGAAATTGATATTGGAAGCCTTCTTCATCGTTCTCTACTGAGTTTTTCAAAATAGAATCTCTCACTGAACCTAGAGCTCACTGAGACTAAAAGGCCAACAAGCGCCCCTCATCCTCCTGTCTCCACCCCCCCCCCCCCCCCCCCCCCAGAGCTGGGATTGCAGAGAGCATGTGTTCTGTGGAGCTTTTGATGTAGTTGCAGGGGACACCAACCCAGGTTCTCAAGTCTGTGCAGCAGGCACTTTGCCCACTGAGCCACCGCTCCTTGCCCCAGGTATATTATCTTTATGGATGGGGCATTGTGTCTTCCTAAGTAAGTAAATATTTCCAGATCTTGTAAAACCTGGGCTCAAATTGTCAGTGAATATTTTGGGTTCTTACTGGCAATAGGCCTCGGTCTATAACTACATAAATGACTTTAAACATGTTAATAATTGTGATGCGTGTAATTTTTTTTTCTTCAAAGACTTGGATAATAATGCCCGTTTTTTTGTTTGCTTTTGTTTTTTTCTTTCCTGTAATGAGACTAATAGCTATCTTTTGATTAGAAGTAAATTCCCTCAAGGCTTAGTATTCTATATCGCATGGAGTAGTGCTTTATATGGAGAAGCAAGAAAAAAAAGTTTTGAAATTGTTTTTTTAGATTGGTAATTTTTATAATTCTTTCTAGGAATATGGTCTGAAGTATATGATATTAACACTCTCTTGAAATTGTCTTGAAAGCAAATTGTATTGATTGATAAGATGATCTTTAAGTGATAACAGCATTATGAAATTACAAATATACAGTTCTTTATTGGATTATATCTGAATATGTTAAATGATGTTATTCATATTGGAAGACATACTGATATATAGTTAGCATAAATGAAACATCTTTAAAAACATTTTCTATTTAATTTTCAGTTCCTAATGTATTGATATTTTTGATTCAGCCAGTAGTCATCAATTTGGCTATTTTTATTAGTGTCAAAAAACCATAGAAATAAACATTCTCATTTTACTTCCTTCAATTTTGGTTACTATTCATGTGGATATTATCTTTTAGGAACTTGTCAGTTTTAAATAATTTTTATATTAATGTGCAAGTGTTTTAGTAGATCTTGCTTTAAGTTCACTATGTGTTTCTGTTGTTGCCTAATTTAATGATAATTTCATCAGGACAGCTTAACATCTCTTATAATTTTAATTGTTATCAAGAAGAATGACATCATTTAATTTGATGCAAAATGTAGAAGGATGGATAAATGACAAATTAATAATTTACCACCTTTGCATAATACTGCAGCATTGGGTATTAGAGGGATTGATGGCATAAAAGTTAACAAATTTTAGCAGCTTTCATTAGCTTTACATCGTCATATGTTTGTGGTACTGACTGAAATAGGCTTTGTAGGAAATCTCAGTCTAGGGAACTAATTACTTGTGCCGATTGCTGCACTGATGAATAGACCCTCATTGTACCATTCCCCCAAGACGAGTAGCAGCCTATGATTCACGACCGCATCCTTGCTGATATTTGATAATAATTTTAACAGATAAATGTAGGAAAGCAGAATGATGAAGTGCCTATCTAAGCTCCATGACTATCAGAGCCATACACAGAGTCATCTGTGTACTGTCATTTTCCTTCCCAACCAAAGGGAGTTTTATTTCATTAACTGAGTTCAAACTACTCTTGTCTTTTGCTTGTGTATATTCTGTATAGCTGTTTTAAATTTATTTTTTAGTGATAGTGTGGTATTAGTTTTTATTTAAAGTTTAGGTACCAAAGCTATGAAGTCAAGACAGAATAAATGAAGTTTAAAATATTCTTTTTGATGACTACAATCCTCATACATTTGTGTATCCCAGTTTGATGACGTTCTATCTCCTCCTCCTCATGCATGACCAAAAACAACAAAGGAAGTGTTTCATGGTCTTATTGTCTCTCTACATTTTCTGAATATTAGATTCCTATGGATTTTAAAACATTTTGTTAAGTAATGTACTATTTGTTGTTTGTGCTTTTATAACCTAATTTTTTAATCAGCAAAAATATTATTAGAACCCTATTTTGAATTTTTAAAGACAGTATCTTTAAAACATCAAAACCAGGTTAACTTTACTTGAGTATTTTAGGACTGTCAACTGGTGAAGAGTACTAATTTGTCAAAGCTGACAGATACAATTTTATTAGCTCATGAAATACAAGTAAGATTTTATTTTTTATTAGTCATTCCTACAGAAGTTTTAGCTATGAATACATTTTTATTTCATTATTGAAACCCATAAGTTTTCATGCTGTACATCTTTAGTAAATGAACATATTCTCCAGAGATATTTTTTTCTAGATGTAACTGAAAAAGTCCTCTATATTGATATTTTCCTTATAAAATATTTTGTAGTATGCTAGGTCATGAGTATTTAACAGGAAAGTTGACATTTATGTGTTGTCATATAAAAGATCTATGTAATTGGGAAAAATATCCTAGAACTTGGATTTTAAAAAGCACATTTCCAAAAGTATGCTTTTGATAAAGCAATTATTGCACATCATATAGCATGTAGTTTTTAATTAAATAGAAAAACAGGCTACATAAAACAGAAATCCAATCTGATTTACTTGAAAATAGATTGCTCTTTCACTCTACAGGAATGGTTTATTTAAAAACAGTAAATGGAAAAGAAATGCATTTTCTTGTGTTGTTGTAAGCCTCAGGGGCTAAATGTAATGAATATTTTAAGAGATTATTTTAATTAAATTCCTGCACATCTAAACAGAGTAATATTTTATTATCACATACATAACCATGTAACTGAGATATTCATTAAAGTTAACACTTTCTGGACCAAGAATTCATAGTATGATTTACTGACCTTGTGCAAAAAGGCACAAATTAGGAAGAAAAATGAAGGGGGACAGACTTTGATTAATATAGGTAATGCTATACCATATTTATAATAGCCTTTTCCCTATTCTGGTTTATAAATGCAGCCGCAGAGAAAGGTGCCCTGCTGAGGCTGAAATGAGGCTGAAATCAGAGCACATGCCACTAGAGTGTGGGGAAACTGATCACACTGTCAGCAATTCATTTCAAAATGATGTATTTAGTGCTCATTTCACCTTCCAAGAAAAGGAAAAGGAGTTCCTTAGACTAGAAGGTGATATTGTTATTTTCAAGGACATACCTAAGTTAAAGATTACAGAGAGGGGAGTGTGAGATGGAGGGAGAAGTAAGAGGAAGGAGAGTGAAAAAGGCAGAGCAAACAAGGGGAGCTTTATGCAGAAATTCAGTGCTACCACGCTGTTTGATAATTGCTAACATATGTGGCGTCTCTGTTTCATTGTAGTCGTCCTCATGAGTTCTGGCGCCTTGACTACTGGGAAGATGACTTGCGGCGCCGGCGACGATTTGTGCGTAACCCACTAGGATCGACACATCCTGAAGCGACACTAAAAACAGCCGTGGAACATGGTCAGTGCATAAACCATTCCTTGCCAATAGCAGCAGCTACGGTACTTGGTAATGAAGATCATATCTTCATTATTAGAAAACACTGCAGAACAATCCAACAGCTCATTTCAGTGTCTTACCTCACAAAGGGAAGGATATGTGTGCATAGCGCACACAGGCACACACACACACACACACACACACACACACACTATATAGGGGATAATAAAATTATTGTGTAAGTATATTTATTTGTTACACATACAAAACTTAGTTAACATAAACCTTTTATTTCAGAGAACAAGGCTAAAATATTTGTCCTTTTAATCAACAGCTTTGAATAAATTAATTCTGGAGTCTGTCTTAAATCCATGAGTATCACAAGCACAGCATTTACAAACCAAATGAGTTTCTAGGTTCTGTCCTATATACACAGATTTCCCCCAGCCATGATATTCCAGCATGTGATTATGAAGTAGGAAAGATGGTAATAAATGTCCAAATGCCTCGGTATTTGCTGAACCTTGATTTGTAGTTGTTGTGATTGATGGCTCATGGAAAAAGAGAATAGACATTATTTTCATATGTTCCTGTTTTGTACCATCTTGTTATCAGAGCTTAACAAACATTGTCCCCTTTTTGTTATGATGCATGTGATAGTCAATTTAGGTAGGAGTCTGATAAGTAAATTGATAAACTGAAAAGGGCCTTTTCATTTCAAAATACACTTTTTTAAAAAATCAGAGAATTGTACTTGTTATTTTATGATGTTCTAAAAGCCAGTTAAAATATGAAGAAGGAAATGCCCCTCTCTACCTCAAAATTACTTTGATTATACAAAATATAATTTGGTTAAGGTAAGAAATAGTCCAACCCTACCACCCCTTAAGATATTAGTTTAATGCACAGTATTTATGGTTAAATCTTAATGTATGCTGTACTTAAATACATGTTAAATTATATTCAGTAAAGCTATTAAGAGTTTTCTTTTTATTATTCTAACTGATCTATAAAAATGGTGTATACTTATGTAGTACCATGTGATATTTCAGTACATGTAAGAATATTAAGAATTTAGATTAAAAATCTGTAGTCTTGGGCTTGGCCTCAGTCAGGCAGTTTAACCTCTTGCACTCATCCTTAAAGCGCCATTTCTTGAAGAAAATATCCACAATATGTCATCAGATATAACACCAAATGTGACATCAGTCTGTTAAAATAAATGATCATACAGAGAATAGTCAATAGCAAAGTGATCTAAAATCAGTAATAGGCTCTGGGCCCTATGTCTTCAGCTACAGGGGATGGGGAGGGAAAGAAGATGAAGAATTAATTATGCTACTTTTGCTTTTAGGGTTCATATCCTTTTTATGTGGTTTAGATTTCAGAGTTACATATTTTCTCTGTCCTTTTTTTGGTCAATGACACTTTCATTTAGAAATGTTTATTTGCAATTTTAGCCTTTTTGGCCAACAGATATTATCATGTGTGTTTAAAATGTGAAAATTTAATAATCTTTTTTGTATTCTAAACTTATTTAGCAGTGATTTTGAGTTCTGGAGTCTATGGCAACTGAGAATATTTTTTCTTTTATATCAGGAAGGGGAGAATTTCTCTTGTAAAACTGCACCTTCAGTTAAATAGTATTCTTATCAAGAAATAATGCATTTTACCATTTTGAAGTATTATGGAATTGTTAATGAATAAATTTTAATTTTTTTGTTTAACTTCACCTTTTACAATAGTATGTCAGCTAAGTACCTGCAGTAATGTTAGATTGAAAAAGGTATTTATTAGTAATACCATTTAAGACTTTTGGACATATTTAGATACAGATCTCATTCTAATTATTCTTGATAGTTATTAAGAAGTTAATACAACATTATTTATTTCCATTCTGTTGTCTATATTTGATAAAACCAAGGGTAAGCATTTTATATGATTCTATCTTATTTATTGATATTTTATGTGAATTTTATAGTGATTAATCTTTAAAATAAATTAAAAGAGTAAAAAGAAATAACTTGAATATGAAACATATATTTCAGAAAGCAACCAAATGTGTATATACCTCAGCAGTACGACAATTAAGGAGATGGATCATATTCAATATGACTTTTTTTTTGTAAAAAGATAAAAGCTTCATTTAATTATTCTTTATGTGTTTACATTATTTTAAATAATGACATAGTACATGATTCTGAAATTCAACATACAGCTTATACTCTGTTATTGTTTGATGTAAGCATAATTTATGCTAATACATTCTGTAAGCAAAGAGCTGAATTTTTGGTATTTATTAAATCATGTAACTTACCAAGTTGATGTTCAATCTTAGACTTGCGTTAACTATGAAATTCAGTCTTTGAATAGTGTTTGGAAAATGAAGGAAAATATCAAACATGATAAGACTCGGGTATGCAAATAAAAGTTTCTATGATCAGAAAGCGATTAAAGTTAATAGTCAAACATAGTTAAATACTATAGGGTTCAGAACTAAATTTAAATACTTAAAAATAGGTTTTTCTGTGGATGCTATGTGGGTTTTATACTGTTTTATGACTTCTTTTACTTATAATTTTTAACTAAGATACATTTTAAAAATGCAGAATCTTAGAACATCTTGGAACTGTATTATCATTATTAAAGGAAGGCACTACTACATAGAAGTGCTATTGGATATTAGTTATGTATTTTGGTAGTGCGAGCCATCTTTTTTATAGATTGATTTGGTTTGAAGGAAAGCCTCTGGTGTAAAGGTGGCAGAGTAAATACCTGAAGAGTGATGTTCTCTGCTGGTGCGATCAATACCAGCCCCATGACTCTACTTCTGGCTACCTTCTAGTTAAAAACAAATTTTTTAATTCTGACAATTTAATTGCCCTTCCCAAGTTCACATTAACTTGCTTGGGGAAAAGCGCTTTAGGTGATTTTTCAAGCAGAGACCCTCCAAAGTGGTTATTTATAAAAGTCATGTTATAATGGGTGATTTCTTTAACTTTGCAGAAATGGAGTACTATTTTAAAATTAAAATTAATACTTCCTCTTATGATCAAATATTTTTATGGAAATTAGCAGTAGCAAGAAAAGGTGGGCATTTGATTCTTGAGGATATTTGCTTCTGTTTTATAGTTTTAAAATTTATTAGAAATCTGCCATAATGATTCCTAACATACTCCTAATGCAGAGAGTTCAGTAGCAGTTATTCATGATCAGAGTGCTGTACATCAAGAAGGAACATAAGGCCCAAGTCTGGTCTAACTTTATTCTTTATAGATAGGAAAACTGAGGTAAGAAAGGGCTAAATTAATTCTTGCATATACTGGACTAAAGCCCAAGTTAACCAAGGACTGGTTGGGTTTCACATCAGAGTACAATGCTATCTTTAAATTTTATTGTTAAATATAATGGAACTGTTATCTCAAAGCCATGTAAAAATGTTTAAATGACAGATTTGTTTTACTTCATGTGCTAAAATTAGCACTGGAATCCTATTGAATTTGAAGATACTTTTATTTTGTAGAGAATGTGCATGATAATAGACACTTTGAGGAAAATTTAACCTAGTTTTAAGAGTATCTTGTTAATTTATGGAATGATGCTAATAACTAATTTGATGTCCTAAGGATGTCAAATCATATAAAGATCCTAAATCAGACTATTGTCTGGTAATTTTAGTAATGACACGTGCCATTACTTCCTCTAGAGATTCAGCAAGCACTGTGTTCTATGACTAAAGGGAACCCATGATCATTAGGATATGTACTAGACTTTTTTTTTTTTAGATCATTCTTTGTCATTTCAGTAATTTTTTTCTAGAGTATATTTTATTGGCTTGGGATGCTAAAGAAATAATATGAACTATAGAGAGGATCTGGTTAGATCAAGAAATTACTTGACTGTGAGATACTATTTATGCGTCATTTTTCAGAATCCAGTTATGGTATTTGTTTCACAATACACTGCATGGATAGACCCTTATCTCTTTCATTTACGTTTGAGATCATCTTATTATTCCAGTTACAGTCTTTGTTTTCTAAAGCTAATTCACTGTTTCTTAATATATAATCATCTTTCACTGGAACACTGGCTATTGAAGATGCCTGTCACTGACTCAGTGAATGTTCAAAAGGGATTTATATGTTGTAGGTGGAACAGTTTCCGGGGCTTTTTTGGTTGTTGTTGTTTTCCTATTTTTATTTTACTTACCTTCTTTGTGTTGTATAGATGAATCACTTCTTACACATATGTCACCCCAGTATTTCGAGGATCAACCTTTTAGGCCTCTCTTAGCTTCAGTGAAGGAAAGAATTTTAAAGATACTACTTCAATGAATTTCTTAAATTCTATGTAACAATGCAGTTTAGTTATTTAGTATAAATATTAAACCAAAATAAAGTAAGAGATTAGATAAATTCAGTCAGTTAAATTTTTTAATATGAAGTGATCATGTTCAGTAATGAAATTATCTAAATTGTAGAATTTACTCACCTAAGATTTCAAAATAGTTGGTACTTTTTTATAATGGTTGATTGAGTACAACGTAAATGAAAGGTAAAAATAGATCTTTCCCTAGAACATATAAACATGATAATTATCTTTTATTTTATGCTTGGGAAAGTTTTGTTCTAATTTTGAAGGAAAAAAAAGTTCTTTAGCAGAAAGCTATTAGACCACTGAGAATTGAACACCAGCGCATGTGGTGTGTATTAGAGTACTGTTGGTAATTTTACTGCTGCTAACTTAAAATCCTCAAGGGGGAGTTAATTACAGGAAAACCATTCTAAATATCAGTAAGCTGCACATTTTCTATGACAAGAAGTTTTTCAGTTGAAGTTGAACAATTCCAGAATCTGAGCTTGTAAAAATAAGTAAATAAATAAATTAAAGTGAGTGTTGGTATGCATACAGTATAGTATAGGACTTAAACTTTTTTCATGAAACAATTTAATTCCAAAGTTACTTTGTTTAAATATGGATCGGCATGATGAGAACACATTTAAAAACTTTTAAATCCCAGTTGGAAAGGATACACATTCTACTTTTTGTGGTCATTTAAATGAATGAATTTATTCATTGAGCTATTTTAAACCATTATATATTGCTACTGAGGACTGTATTTTTTGTAAATATTTACAAATGAAACATTTTTTTTTCATTCTTTTTTTTTCCTTTCAAATGTGCTTTGTGTAACTCAAAATCTATAAGGCAATGATCAGAAGTAGAACAAGATACTTTAGTTGTTTCTGATGTGTTTGACATTGCTCAAATAAAAGCTTTGAACTTTTTCTTTTACTTGTTAATTATGAGTCTTATTAACCTTTTAAACAATTTCACTGTGAGAATCAAAAGAATTAGCAAACAGGTTAGTAAATTACAGATATATTTATATTTGTACAATGGTTTTCCTTTTTTTCTTTCTTCTGTCCAAGATCTGGTGTGGAACAGTGGTTAGAACCCAGACTCTGCCACTGCCCTGCCTGTTTTGTATCTTTAAAAACATATTATTTTTATTTTGTGTATGAGTATATTGCCTGCATGTATGTAAGTGCACCCTTGTTGTGCAGTGCTCGAGGAGTTCAGGAGAGGGCTTTTTTATCCCCTGGAACTGGAATTACAGATGTTAGTTGCCATGTGGGTGCTGGGAATTGAATCTGGGCCCTCTGCAAATGCAGCCAGTGTTCTTAACCTCTGAGCCATCTCTCCTACCCCGTTTTGTATCTTGACTGCAATTATCATGAGTCCTGTTACCTTAGGTAAGTTAAGTGCCCTCTCTGAGTCTACTTTCTTATTTGAAATTGAGAAATTAGCAAGTTTCTGAGAATTAAAAGAGTTAAATACATAAAATGTTTTGAATACTCTCTAGTACATGGTAAATTCTATGTAATATTTTAATTAGTAGTACTTTTACTTTGGAGGAAGAGTTATAAATCAAGGAAATTAAGAAGATGTAGTGCACTTATTCTATACTAAAACTTAACTGGTGAATGAGAGTTTCTTATAACTTAATGTGTGAGGAAATCTTAGAGGAGGATGCCTTCTTTTGAATTTTTCAGTGCTAAATTTATAGCCAAAGTTGATTATGTGCTTGAAAAGGTCTTGCTTGGACTAAGACAATATTTTTGAACATAGAGTAGGAAATCTTAAGTGTTGACTATAAACAATGATTAAAAAAAAAACCCATTGCTATTTTCCTAATAGTTAATAGTAGGTATATTCATTTGTAGGTTTTGAAAAAAATAGCATTTTTAATGAAGCATTTTTAATTAGGTATATTAACTTCTCAAATGTTTACTGAGGCCTTCATATCTGTGCAACCTGCTGTGTTATCTTGCAGATATGAAAGATTTGATTTACTTATATTGTGCATTCCATGCTAAATCCAGAATGCCTCTATCCATGACTTCCTTTTTTAATAGGAAACCTTTTGTTCTTTCTAGTGTAATAAATATTGTATGTTAATGATATACATGATGAATGCACAATAAATTTTAAAAAATTACCTTTAGCATGATCCATAACCATAAACTATTAAACCAAAGAAACTTTGATCTGCTGAGATGACCAGGTAACACAGGCGCAGTATGTTGGCTCAGTTCTTAGTCAAGTCACTGTAAACTTATGCTTTAGTCTTTGAGAGGGTTTGAGCAGAAATTTCAGTGTTGCAAAAGGCCTAACCATTGAATTTCCATATCAGTACCCTCAGCTGGATGGATCTGGTGCTTCACATCCCTGGATTTCCCTAGCTGGAAACCAAAAACATCAGTAGCACAGTGAAGATCATAAACTCTCTCTTATGTAGCACCATTTAAAAATAGGTTGAGCTTTTACAAATCATAAACCCTGAGTACTTTTTAGCTTTCCCTAAAGCAAACTACCCCTAGCACTGGGTCTCCCTGGAGGGTGAGGTGGGGTTTTGTGCTCCTGTGGCCCTTCTGCTGCACTACTCTTTCCTTCTTTCCGTCTTTTGCCCCTCCTTCCCTGTTCTAAGGCTGCTGTGAGCTCCTGGCCCAAGCTTCTGAGCTTGCTAGTTTTGTTATGTTTGCCCCCGGGGTGCCTTAGCCCTTTAGTTTAAACTGCAGAGGAGGGAGTGTAGAGCCTCTGCTTCCTGCTACAGTGTCTTGCTCTTGGATATTTGTATAATTGTGGTGGGCTAGAGAGGATATGTGAAAATGTGGGCCAGGGCCCTGAGAAGGAGGAGGAGGGAGATGATCCAGAGAATGAAGTTGCTGGACCTTTCTTAGTGTCCCATAGGGCTTTGGGGTCCTGGCCTCCATCCTCATTGGCTGCAGATCTCCCCCAGTGCTGACCCCTTTTACTTTTGGACACTCCTAGCCCTTCCCAAATACATGCCAGGGTAGTAGTATTCAGAGGAATGAACAGCTCCTCAGCTCCTCATTATTGGTCCATGTTAAATAAGCATTGTGTCCCAGAGTAGGTTCTAACTTTTCCTAGTAAGGAACAAATTGGGGAGTGGAGGGGGGGAAGTGCTGCTTTGGAATCCTGTCTTGCCCTAACTATAAGTAAATAAATGACTGGGTGAGCAGTGCAGGGGTCAGATTTAATGGGATTAGGGTGCTTGTTCAGGGTAACATTACACTAGCTTGGGGAATCAAGTTTGTCAGAAGGAGCGTGTGTGCCATCCCAGTCACTTTCCTCACTGTGGGTGAATGTATAAGTGGCCATCCCTGGCCACCTACACTTCCTGCAACCCTACCCCTCCACCAGTGTGATCTTCCAGTGCTGATGGACAGCTTGGTTTCCTTTTCATTTCAGCCACAGATGAAGACATCCTTGCTAAAGGAAAACAGTCCATCAAGAGTCAGGCTTTAGGAAATCAGAACTCAGAAAACGAGGTCCTCCTGGAAGGCGACGACGATACTCTGTCATCCGTGGATGAGAAAGATTTAGAGAATCTTGCCGGTAATTCAGTGGTTGCACAGATTTTTCTGCTGGTTCTGGGCTGATGAGCATCTAATTACTTACTTTTTCAATTGTGACCAATGGGACCCACAATTATATTAACTAGAGATTGGTTTTGTTTACCCCAATGTTTCTCCCACATCTTCTGTAATTTCTCTTATTTTTCTATTCTATTCAGTCCTCTTTACCTTAATTATCTTTTTCTTTTCTGTATAGTTTTCACTGGAAGAAAAAAAAAATAAAAGCAGCCACAACAAAATTGTTTTATGCATCCCTTGGGAATTTCCATCTCTCTATAAAATGAGGGTTATCAGCAAAAATCTGCCAATTATTTTATAAACAAAGCTTGGAGGATGTGTGCTTTAATATCAAGTCTTAAGGAACACATTCCATATACATTTAACTCACTCAAAAAGTCAAACCCGAAAATTGTTTGATTTTCCATGGGATTCACACACTTTGCCTAGTGTAGGAATTTTTATTTATAGTCTACACATTCTCAGTTTTATTTTCCTTAATAGAAAAAATTTTCTTGTTTACCCTGAAGTTTTAGTCATTCATTAAATGGCTTTTCTCTTTAATGTTTATGATTGTGTTTCTATTATTATCATTATTATTATTATTTGTTGTGTTTGTTAGGGAGGAAAATCTGAAAAAGTCTGCATTTTCTTTTTTTTAAGTCTACATTTTCTACACATTTCCAATCTTTTAAGATTAGAAAGCCTTTATTTAGCGATACACCTTCAGCATATACAGCCATGCAAGTTGAGGGTAAAAAACAAAGCTAAAAGCTGGTTATCTCTCCTGATAACCAGAAACTTCTCTAAAAGTAGAGTAAAATTAATTGTAGTGTACTTGTTTAAGGATTTGTAGTGGAAATCGAGAGTAAGGTGGATACGTCTATTCACTAGTCTTTTCCTTCACACCCTTTACCCAGTTCCTTCTTTATTTTACTCCTATTCTTATGACTAACGATACATGCTTATAGTAATAGAGGTGAAAGGGAGTTTAATTATATAATCTTGACAATGGCAATAGGATTAAGAAGTAATCCACACTAATAAAGTGGTATGGGTTAGAAATGAAGTGGAAATTGTCAGGGGTCTTCTGTAGGACCTAGGCTGCCCCAGCTCCTGCAGCTGTCTGCTTACCCTATAATTGAATGTCTGAGAGTGATTGAAAAAATGTTATTTCTTTTCAGGATTACATGCTAATGTACAGAGGGCAAAAGGAGACAGCAAAAGAACACATAGCTGCTTATTTCATCCATTTACAGGGATGAGCTTTGGGAAATCATGGCTGCTCTGCAGCTCTCTGCTCCCCATCTGCGAACACAATGTATTTATACATTGGGAATAGAGGACAAAACCTGCTCTGATCTCTGCAGAGCATCCCTTCTATTGTCCTACTGGCACACATTAAGATTGATGTGAGATTAAGGACCATCACACTTCAGACAATCGATGGAAATGTCAATTCATCTGAATTTTGAAACACTTATTCACCCATTGATTACCTGAATAGGTGCACCTTGTTTATAGGCACTGTATTAATTCAGAATTATAAATGCCAATCTTTTCTGTGGCTGTTTCTTCTGCAGGATTTGTACAATAAGAAATGCTCATGGAATTTTAAATTCTTTCTACATCTGCCTCTGTGTGTGTGTGTGTGTGTGTGTGTGTGTGTGTGTGTGCATACATATATATCATGTTAATACTTTTAGTCCTTACTTTAGGGTTAGCTCTAATATACTTTATGCTGCTCTATCTGTAGTGCATCTATTGTTTTCAGTAGCAGTCTGATTTGTCTCTTTGATAAGCCCTGTGGAGATCTGATTATTCCAATAAAAATTCATTCACTTGGAAACCCACCCTCCAGCTGTTTACTCCCAGAGTCCCTGAACTACACTAATATTAGATTTGGAGGCATTGAACAATATTTAACAGTGAAAAGGAAGGCTTAGAGAAAAAATATTTTTACTAATCTTGCATGGGGGAGAGTTGTCTTGGAAGAGGTTTTGTGTGAAACTGGCATAGAATCTTCATGAGAGAAAATGGTTTATTGGAGGATACCAAAACATAGCTAACAAGTTAGTGGTCTTCTTTGTAGGCATGTCTTAGCCAAACTAAACCCACCTCTGGTCTTGGGAGCCTATTGAGGTCTCCTTGCTCCAGGCTTTCCTTCCGTGCTGTTTGATAGCCTGAGGCTCGCTTTCTAAATGGTACGGGGATGCACTTAGTTAGGCAGAGCCGCCACCTTACCTAGTGATTAGACCAAAGTTTACACACTCCCCATAAGATAATTCCTTCTCAGTTTACCATTATCATTAACTGCCTGTTACAAATCTTACAGTATGAGAACCTTTACATCTTCAGAGAAAGATGGAATGGACATGGTAGAGAAATGTAGATAGTTGGTCAACACTTTTGTACTTAGAAGGAAGAATTAAAAATTAAATATAATTTCTGGTCAGATTTGAGCTTTTGAAAAATATAATTCCAATCCATGTCAGCCTGTCTTTTTTACTTGGCAGGTCCAGTTAGCCTAAGCACACCAGCTCAGCTTGTGGCCCCCTCTGTTGTAGTAAAAGGCACTCTTTCTATCACCTCCTCCGAACTCTATTTTGAGGTGGATGAAGAGGATCCTAACTTCAAGAAGATTGACCCAAAGGTGAGAAGATAAGAGGAAGGGGAGCTCCCTTTTTCTTATTATGGAATGGAGGGCTCTGTTAGTAAGATGGGTTTAGATAAAACCTCACAAGCTTGGTTCCGAATTCTTGCTGAATTGCCTCTGTTTACATAGAGGCAGTTATCTTTTTTTAGTTTATGATTCTTTTACCATCTACTGAGATTATTGAAGTTCATTTAAATTCAAAAACAATTTCCACTTAATTGCATTTATCATTAGCTCTTTGGGGAAGAGACCTCAGGGAACATTGTGTATAAATACATTTTGCCTCAGAGGGTCCAGGGTGAATTAAGCAACAAAAAATTCAGTGAGCTTGAGAGTGTAATCATTTTGTTTAGCTTTTATGTTTTCTGGATATAATACCAATATATCATTCTACCTGCTTTGTCCCCATGACTTACTGCTCTGTCATGCATGCAAGCATATTCTGCCAGTGTGTGATCCCTCTGCTTCCCATTACCTGTGGAAGGTTTTACAAGGTACTGCATAATTTCCTATTCTTAAATGGAAATGTAATTTCCCCTTTTAAAGGTACTTCAGATTACTTTTCAAACTGTAGCAACTTTATTTTATTTAGAAACATTTGTTTCTTAACACAGTCATAAAGCCAAAATAATGTTGATTTCATGAGAGTGAATGGTATATTTGCTAATTTATTTCACTGGCAGAGAGAGAGAGAGAGAGAGAGAGAGAGAGAGAGAGAGAGAGAGAGAGAGAATGTGTGTGTGGTGTGTCTGTGTATACATAGACATATATTCATATACATATGTTCTGAGTTTATTGGTAGTCTCTTAGGTTTTGAAATTATGTGGAATTGTTAAATCTTATTTGCAAGTGTTTCAAAGTAGCTCTTGAACAAAATGTTAAATTTTTGTTAGTAACTCTAGAGACAAATCATTTCTTGTCCTATGCATATTTGTTTCCAGCATTTTGTTTCTGTATTGCTGCCTCCATTGGGACAGGATGCCCTGAACTATATGACAGGCAGGCCATGATAGACCCGAGTGTCTGGAGTAGATAATGCAGCTAATCCAATGTAGAAAAAACTTTAATTCTGAAATTACATCACTTTGAAATTTTTTATACTTTCTTTCATCACTGAAATATCTGAAAATGTTTTAATTTCATTATGAAATGACGGTTGCCAAAATTACTTAAATTCTCAAATCCCTGGTTGTTTCTGAATTTAAGAGGAGACTGAGATTTAAGTCAGAATATTTTACTGTACTTTTGGTACAAACATGGTTTAAAGCCTAAAGCCTGATTAAAGATGTTTAATAGATTGTTTTCAAAAGTAAAGACTTTGTCAACCTTTGCGATTAGATTCTTTGTTCCTTTCGGGGAAGAAGTAACTTTTTACCCCTGTTCTTTGTGTGCCATCATTAAATTAATTTTCTATCTCTGTTGCTTATGAAATACAGAATATTTCAGGCTAATCATAACAATTTTTATATCATTTCAACCTGCCTAGATTCTAATATTCGAGAAATCAAAACTCCTAGGCATTTATATTTGAAATTGTTTCAGCCAAGTATTGGTAGAATCTTTGATTTTGTATAGACTTTGATGCTTTAAGATATTTTGGTATTGTAAACACCAACACTTTCCTTAGTTACTTTTTTAACATTAAAAAATTTATTTTTTACTTGCATTAAATAAGTAAGAAATGATATTGCTTTGTGAGTATTGTTTTTTTCTTATCAAGGCTTCAAAGTCTTTTTTCATAGACTAGTTTCACAGACTCTACTAGAAATACTTTTTTGAGTGAAAATCGTCATTTTAAGATAGCATTTTAATCTTTTGAGCTAAACACTATGCCTTAAATGATTTTGTACACATGTAAGTAGCTAGTGTTTGCTTTGAAAATGTTCTTAAAATTAGACTATTTCCCATAGAGAGATAGATTTATTTTATTATTTTAAAATATTAGTGAGTTCAGCTAATTAGCAAACTTCGTTTTTTATTTATAGGAAGAGACACTGGAAAAATAGGTATAACATATATTGAAAGGGCAAGGATGATTTCAGAGTGGGTAAGGTCTAAGCTTGTGGTTTTAGCACAGACTTCCTTTGACCAAGGCATCTTCCAGCTTGTGCCTGCTCTGTCAGGTGAACTGGGGCTTCAGAGCCCTGAGGAGCTTTCCAGGGTTTAATCATCTTAGTCCTCCTGTTCATAGCAACACACACCCCTCCCCCACCAGACTTCTTCCTCTTCTCTGAGAACTGCTCTTTAGAACACTTTTCCTCTACAGCTTTCATTCATAGATTTTTTTTTGAGCAAGTTAAAAATTAGATTAACTTAAAGAATAGAATTTAAATATTAGAGGTAACATTTAACATATTCTGTACCTTTGTCTCACATTAGCAAAGCTAATGGAATGTATACTTCCAACATAAAGCAGACAAACCAATTTCTTATATTTTCAGTTTACTAATTATTTTATATCCCAAACAGTTATTTTCTTGCATTTAAAAGAAACCTTTGTCAGAATTGAAACATTGAAATAAGTTTATTGGATTGTTAGCTGAGAAAAACAGGACAAAGAAGGTACTTTGCCTATTTCTAAATTCTTGGAACAATTTTTCTTTGGTCATAAGAATGGTTATTAAGGACTTCTTCGTGTATAAGCAGCTAAAAATAATCATGTTCATTGCTCATATAATTAAATCCTTTAAAATTGAAGGAATTTGTAAATCTGAATAAACAATATTACCTACCAGTTGCTGGGGGAGAGGACTATTGCTGTGTGACCATTTTTTAAAATTTTAATGTAGTTAATTTACTTGCTAATTTTTTTTTTTACTATTTGAAACTTGAAGAGAGGAAATGGTTGATAGAAAAATATGAAATTCATTATTTGGAAAAAATTCATAAACATTTGCACTGAATATTAAGTTTACAGCATAAGAAGAAATTCTAATTCATATTGTAAAAAAGTTTAGGATGTGTTTTATTTTAAACATTAGGATGAAAATACGCTCTTCCACTGCTTTCTTGTTTCCAAGTATGACATATGATTAATTTAAAAATCTACAGACCAATATATGTCATTGAGTAAATTTCATAGTTTTTCTTTTTCTATGGTGTTTGATGAAAATTTGAACAGTTCATTCTATAAAATATGCTATATTTTAAACTGTGCAGCTCAAAATTCAAATGGAAACTTTTGCATTTAATTCAAGTTCACATCTTGTAAGTTAGAAAGTGGTCTCACCTGCCTTCATTTAAGAACAATCCACAATCAGTCCATTACAATGTAAAGTAATATTTTTATTACTGGTTTACTGGTTTCAACAAGACATCATAGGGCCAAGGTAGGGGTGCAAGAGAGGGCGGGGCACACCGATATTGGCACTGAGATACATTTCACATCAGTAAAACTTTCTTAAAAAGAAACTTCACATACAGTTAAATAATTATTTTCACTTGGTGACAATCATTCAGGCAACCCAAAACAAAACGAGAGAGGGAGGGAGGGAGGGAGGGAGGGAGAGAGAGAGAGAGAGAGAGAGAGAGAGAGAGAGAGAGAGAGAGAGAGAGGGAGAGAGGAGGGAAGCTACTATACATGGATTTGAAAAATGTACCTTGGGTTTCATTTTGTGTTGGCAAAGCCGGATTGCTTCTTTTGTGTGACCTTTAAATTCACATTGTTAGGAAGTAAAGTAAAAGATCACTTTTGTGCAAGAATGTGATGAGAGAGAGAGAGAGAGAGAGAGAGAGAGAGAGAGAGAGAGAGAGAGGGAGAGAGGAGGGAAGCTACTATACATGGATTTGAAAAATGTACCTTGGGTTTCATTTTGTGTTGGCAAAGCCGGATTTCTTCTTTTGTGTGACCTTTAAATTCACATTGTTAGGAAGTAAAGTAAAAGATCACTTTTGTGCAAGAATGTTATTTTTTTTTTTTTTTGGTTGGTTTGCCTTCTTTTGTTTCCTTCTTTAAGGAGATCTGCCTGACTCCTGTTTCTTGTAGGTGATTTACATAAAAGTTTGTGCCTAGAGTTTTTGCTGTTTGTGGCTGTGCGCCTTGGGTGTTCCGGGAGAGCACGCCCGTTCTGTCGCTTTTCCACGCAGTCTGAAGCACCCTATAGTTTGTCCAGGCTTTTGGGATTGGTGAGGATTTCCCTGGCTAACCTCCAGGTCTGCTTGGCAGCGCTCTCCAGGGCCGAGTGTGGCTTGCCCTGGAAGAGGTCGAGGTTGGGCAGAAAGTAGTGCGGGCAGCGGCGGCACTGCAGGCAGGAGATGAGCTGCAGCAGGATGCCGTTCAGCCGGTCGCCCAGGCACGCCTCGTCCCAGTCCGTTTCCCGCGGGTGCTTCTCGCACTCGTACAGCAGCAGCGTCTTCATGTGGTAGTTGTTGAGCGGTTGGCCCGGCAGCTCCAGGTGGCGGTCCCGCAGCGTCTTCAGGACCGAGAGACACTTGTTTCTGCAGCCGCCCATCAGCAGGCGGTTCTCCGCCTCGCCGAACTGCAGCACCCAGGCGTCGCTCTCCGCCGAGCTCTGCTTGCCGGTCAGCGAGTAGCACTCCTTGGAGAGCAAGTTGAACCCTTCGGCCTTGACCTCCGCCACGCGATTGGGGCCGGGCCAGGGGATGTGCGGCATGGGCCACTGTGCAGCGCTGCGAGGCCAGATCCCGGTGCACTTGAACGCGGGGGTGATTTGCACCACGTAGCGCTCCCTGATGCGCAACTTGACCTCGCTGGTGTCGGCGATCATCTTGACCACGTCCCGGTAGCTGCACTTGTCCACCGCCTGGGCGACCAGCGTCTGGAAGCGCGAGCGTATCTTGCGGGCTGAGAGGTAGCCGGACGCAGTGATGAACTCCACCCAGAGAGACATGCTCCGCTTCCTCCCGTCGCTGAGTTTGAGCACGGCGCAGCCCGGCAGCGAGCCGTCGTCCACGAAATTGAAGACGCCCATTTGGTTTAGGTAGAGCACCACCTCGAACTCGGTGGGCGAGATGACCTCCAGCCCCTCGTAGCGGGCATCGATCTCGCTCAGAGAGCTGATGAAGCGCGGCTCCTGCACCTCCACCTCCTTCAGCACGTCCGAAACCACCTTGCAGACCTCTCGGATGGTCTTGGCGATGGCCGCCTTGCGCGCCTGGCAGCGCTCGGTGTAGTATTTATTGAGCTGGTAAACCAGCTTGGCCTGAGCGGCGATCATGTTGGGGCACAGGTCCGGGCTGTACACCGGCGTCTCGCAATACGTTGAGGGATCCAAGGCTCACGCACTAGTGGTGGCCCTGCGGCTGTGGAAAGGCGGTGCGCTCCCCAAAACCCCACTTTCACTCTCGGTTTCCACCTGGGCTGGTCGGCTGATGCTGTAGCCGGCTCCCTTTTGCTTTTCCCTCTTTGGAAACCTTTTCTTCTTCCCCTCCTCCTCCTCCTTCCTCCTTCCTCCTTCTTTCTTCTTCAGAAGTTTATAGAGAATGTGATTTTTGGAAAAACGTAAATACCTACTCGGACTTTCTTGCTTTCTCTTGATGAGTGAAATAAGGATGGCACTTTTTAGGAGAGATGGGTGGAGGGACGGTGAGGCAGACAGAAGTTCAGGTTACCCAGAGGTTCGATGTCTGCAGCAGTCAAGATTGGCCAGATAGCTGAAAATGAAGTCTTTTAAGTGCCAAGGTAAATTTTAAAATAAAAGGAAAACATTCAGTGGCTCATTCTTAAACTTCTCCCACGCTGGTAGGGCGTCTTCACTTAATGTAGGTGATGCCTTCCTCCTCACCCTCCCCCAAATGGAAAGTGAAGGATGTAATTAATGTCCGAAGAGCAGCAGAGTGCTGCTTGGGCCGCTGCACACTCGGTTTGCAGACGCCCTGCAGGCTCAGCGTGCTTGTCTCTCTTCTCAGGGGGTCCTCTTGTCCTGGTTTTCCTCTTTTCCTTCTGGAGGCGTTGTTTGGATTGGGTCGGGTTGTTAGTGGGTTCTTCCTGTCTTTCTCTAGGTGCAAACCGCTGGGAGTTGTCTGATATTCATTTCTGCCTCGTAATTTATCCTTTGGGCCCTAGCAAAATCTATTTTAGTGTGACGGAGTCGTTGCTTGCGTTGCGTCTGGCATGCAGTTATGAGTCCGAGTTGGTTTTTCCTCTCCTCCAGTTGGCTTCTGCAGACTCCACTTTGAGCCGTGTCTCCCTCCTTCCGATGATGTCTGCCCCCCTCACCCACCTCTTTCTCTCTCTCTCTCTCTCTCTCTCTCTCTCTCTCTCTCTCTCTCCTCCCTCCCTCCCTCCCTTCCTCCCTCCCTCTCTCGAGTTTATGAATGGTCCCTGGGCCATCATGAGGGGTGGAGCTTCAGTTCCTACAATCCCTATGTGAGCTGTCAGTGCTTTAGCCAATCCGAGAGAGAAGAAAGGCACGCTCTGGACCGCTCTGGACCGGTAGCAACCACCACTGCACTTGATGGAGAAATGGGTAAAGAGAAGTAAGAACACAGGAGGAGACAGTGGAAGTCAAATGCTCTCACACATCTTACAGCCCCTCTTCTTTTATCCTCTTACTAGTTGCGAAGAAGGAAAAGGGGGTCTGTTATAGAAGGGGTTCTCCTCCGGAGATGGCTGCAGCAAGGGAGGGGGAGTAGCAGTGGTTCTCAGAGGGTCACTTTTTGGTTTGGTTTTGTTTTAATTCAACATTCTGTAGAAGATGCAGACTCTAACAAAGGGACTTTGGCTTGAAGGCAAATGGGAGCTTTGGAAAGGACCTAAATTTTGTAGGGTTTTTTTCCTCCAGTAGAGTCTTCCTTCTCTCCCTCCACTCCATTGTTACCAACAGCTGGAGCAATTGCTGTGTATGTATAGGGAAAGGGGAGGGCACGGAGAGGCTTTATAATCATAAATCTCTTGTTAGCAATTTCTATACACTGTTAAAAACATAGCAGGACAAAAACTAGTCCAAACACATTTTTTTATCATTATTTTATAATTAAGCTTCAGCTACATTTGTATCATTACTTTGCTGTTACAAGAACTAACCAATTACCAGAGAAAATATGTCAGTTGTGAGAAATGATGTAAGTTTATACATGGGAGATATTGTTCATTGAAATAAGCTACTAAAAGTGTTTCAAACTAAATGAAAGTGAAGGGAAGTAAATGCGAACCTGAATTCAAGTTTTCTTAATATGTTACTATTATACCTTTAATTTTAAATATATTTTCAGACAGTGCAGTTTTAGGTATAAAATGATTTTCATAATTGGCTCTTGCCTTTTAAGGAGTTGATTGCTACAAAAATATTTAACTGTCCTGTTATTGATTACCCAGATGGCCTTACTCCTCCCTGGTATTCCAGTGAGTAGAACTCATGCATGGGCCTTAGAATATGTATTATTCTTAACAAGCTATGCCAGTTGCTGCCTTACAGAACTTTGGGAGGAGAAAATGCTGTAGGATGGCGATTCACTTGCTGTTGAGGGTTCGTCTTTGAACTTGTCTGCATTCTCACCCATTTTAGTACACTCAGGTAATTAGGATTCTTTTTAGTTGGATTTGGCAGATAATATTTCAGCCCTGGGTTATTTGGGGAAAAAATTAAGATCTATAAAACCTTGTTTTTGCAAAACCCTGTGGGTGGCTTTTGTAAGTTCTCTGGGAAAGCTTGATTTGCCCTCTTAAAACCCGACAGAGCCTGAATTCAGTTGCAATAGGGAAAGTTAATTTCTCTTTCTACTCTATGTTCTTCCCAGTCCTTGGCGTGGACTGCTGGAGACTTGTCCCTCTTCTTTCGTTGCTAAAGTCCCTTTCTAAAGAGTGTGTGAACTTTTTCTTCTTAAAATCAAGCGGGCTTTCTTGCTTGGGGACCACTATCTTCAGTAGCAGAGTTGGGAAGAGCCACTGGAAGTAAGCATCCCTGAGACTCTGGGATCCTTAGTCTTAGTGGAGTCCCGGTGCCGGCAGCCAGGGCTCCTGAAAGGCTTCCCTGCTGCTGGACCAGCGCTCTCTGGCAACCTGCACTTTCTGCAGGCCCAGGTGTTAGGGTCTGGGGCACGTTTCCGCGGGGTGTGGGACCAGGGAGAGAAGACACCCACCACGTGCCCCGCAGGCCGCACTGAGCAGAGACTGGCGGCAGGGTCCAGGTGTGGAGCTCGTGCTCTGTGCCGCATCCTCGAGGCAGATGCGCACGAGTGGCCCGAGACGCCGCGAGCCGGGAGTGAAAGTGAGCCTGGGGTGGCCGGCTCCACCGCCTTCACTCTGCGGTGTTACCGCTGCCAGCCTGACCCAGTTTCCTTGCACCCTTGTCCGTGCTTTTCTCCACGTCCTACCGCGAGGCCGAAAGATGATAAAACGTTACAAATGTTTTGATTTAAAAACAATTCATTACCAATTTACCCTGTCTAAGGTAGATGCGCTAGTAAATAATAAATCAGTTAAACAAAGGCGACTTTAATTTATTGCCGTGGTACTAATTAGAAACATCATTCCAGCAATAAACTTAAACACTTCCAGCAAACACTGACCCCTCCCCCCTACCTCTCTCTGCTGCCTTCCTTCCCTGAGAGCAGCTTCAGCTGTGTTTGTGGCTCCTCTTCTGGTTGAATAATTGAAGGGGGAAACTGGTATCCTTGGAGGCAATAATTGAAGAGCCCCTGTCACCTCCGCCTTTATGTATGTTGGAATAGAAGTCCATCAGCAGCTCCTTGATGGTGTATTAAAACGAAGTGGCAGCTCCTTCTGCTGGAGATACCCTGTTTTATTAAGTAGACCTAGCGAGAGAAAGAAACTCTAGAGGCTAAAAGCCACTTCAAGTCTTCAGACCGATTGATCTGTATTCTCCTGTTATAATCCGTCTCATCATACTTGAGTTAATGAGGCAAAGGAGGGGGAGCAAAATCTGATGGTCCTTGACAAATTCATTAGGGAGGCTGCAGGACATTTTATTTGACTGTTAAACATCTTGTTTGTTTGGTTTAGGCGGTGCCAACATCAGCATGCTTCTGCCCAGAGCTGTGGTGTTGGGCGGGCTGCTGCAAGGACTCCTGAAAGGAAGGCAGGCACGGAGGGGCTGATTTTTTTTCTTTCTGTAGGTTGTGAGTAGTGCAGAACCCTCAGACTTCTCTGGGCATAACCTTTATCATCATTATCAGGAACATCTAAAAATGTAGATGACAGTACTGAGGTGGGCATGATATTAATTACTAGAAACCAAAGTAGGTACATTTAAAACCTTAGTCTGAGATTTTCCAAGTTGGGTAATTAGCAATTACTACACTAGTTTTTGAGAATGTTGAAGGTCCAGAAAAGTAGCCAGGTTACTCCTCATTACATCCTATTTTACTTGATTATAATTAACTTCTTAATGAGCAATTGAGTATCCTCTTTCATCAAATTTTTTGGGAGCACCAACTACGAAATTTAAAAATTAAATATTTACCCACAATTTTTTTTCAGAGAAGATTACTGTATTTAAGCTTGGGTGCCTTTTTACAGTTAAAATTAGAATTAGGACTAGGTCCTAGGAATAGTACTAAAATCCAGCAAGTGGTAAATCTGCAGAACACTAAAACCTGAAAATACTCGTAGTTGAAGAATAATGGGCAATTAGGCTAGAATATTTACCTTATAAGTATTTTATCCTAAACAGCATAGGACTTGATTTTTTCAAAGTTTTTTTGAAAAGTAGTAAATAATCCAATTGTGAAACTTTTCTGCCTAGAAAATTCAGTTACTTTTTTTTTTTTTTTTTAGCATTGACTTAGCCCCAGCCTAAGTGCTTTGAGACAGAACCTTGCTTTCCACTTAGAGGAAAGGAGTCTGGGAGAAAAAAGAAGGCTAATGCTCTTTGCCTGTCATTTTCATACATTCCTGCCTGGCCAAGGAAGCCTGACTGCTGCAGGGAATGTGTGGATTGGAAAGAAATGATGCAGTAGTTCACGTGTTTCTCAGAAGCCAGAGCTAAGTAATGGCCGAAGTCAGGGCTTCTGTTCGTCTGACAGTTATAATCCTGTTTACATTTCCACAGTGTACAGAATCCTTAAACTGTTTCATTTTGTCCTGATCTTTCTTTAGAGATCTATTCACTAAATTGAGCTTCAGTGCTTTTTTCCCTTTATCAGATTAGTGAGTCTTAAAAGGTATCTATTATTTTATGGTTTTTAGAAATAATGTATAGTAGTCTAATAATCTTTACAAGGAGGACACAGATTTTACATGATATGATCTTGATTTCCAGGAAACATTTAGAAGTGTTCAGGAAATAACTAAACTGTTCTTTAAAAAAATATCCGAAGACCCTGCGCTTTTCAGAAGACAAAGGGCTCTCTGGTACCTGCTTGTGTTCTTATCCTCTGAGATCTAACTTTGAAAGATCTAGTATTGGCTAGATTTTTGGTTCTTAGATACTGAACTAATTGACATAATTATTTAAAAACTTAGTTGACATAATTATAAAAAAGACTTGACTTTGTAAAACAGATTTCTGATGTTTTGGTCAAAATATAATTTTGAATAAAATACTATTCTCTGAATTTAAAAAATGGAAGGAAAGTAAATTACCCAAACATAGTTTGTTGGTGTGTAGGTTGATGAAATTTTATAGAAGTCCCTATTTTTAAATATATGTAGGAAAGTGTCACAGTTGTTGATATTATACTATATGTATTATAGTGAAAGTCCCAAATAAAACTACATTCTTCTTGATTATTATCTGTCATTCTCTGTCAACTGATCTAATTTTCTAAAACTCTGATGTTTCCCATAGAATGTTTCTATGGTATTGATAATTGTTGCTCTGGAATTAATATAGAATAACCAGTAATTAAATGGCTGCTTTATTGCCTGTTAGTAATTTAAAATGACCAGACATTGTGTGGAAGTACTTCATTCTTAGAAAATAGCTTCAAAACAAAATAAAACAAAACCCTTTATAAATCTCTTTAATTGATAACCTAAGGATAGTGTTTCCCATTTAAACAATTTGAACTTAAGATACTGTTATCTCAAGTAAAGTGATAGCTTTAACTTTGCACAGCAAACCTATCAAAGGGTACCAAAAAATCAGAACACTTTTATGTACATTTTATGAGTATTGTTTGGTGGACATAATGAATTTTTAAAATTACCTTCAGTAACACTGTATATATTACTGTGATATTTCCCCCTGGTTAGACTGTGCATTTATAATTCTAGCATCATTTAGTAGATGAAAAGGTTGAAAATAACATTTATGTTTAGTTTTCCTACCAAGTTGAACAG